CAACACAAACAATCACATTCAAACACACACACACACACAACACAAACAATCACATTAACACACACACACACAACACAAACAATCATTCAAACACACACACACACAACACAATCACAACACAAACAATCACATTCACTCACACACACACAACACAATCACATTCAAACACACACAACACAAACAATCACACACACAACACAAACAATCACACACACAACACAAACAATCACACACACACACAACACAAACAATTACATTCACTTACACACACAACACACACACACACACACACACAACACAAACAATCATTCAAACACACACACACACAACACAATCACAACACAAACAATCACATTCACCACACACACACAACACAATCACATTCAAACACACACAACACAAACAATCACACACAACACAAACAATCACACACACAACACAAACAATCACACACACAACACAAACAATCACATTCAAAACACACAACACAAACAATCACATTCAAACAGACACAGACACACACACACACACAACACAACACAAACAATCACATTCGCACAGACACAGACACACACACACACACACACACACACACGCTTCCTGTCGTCCTGGTGAGGAGGACGCAGCTGGAGAAAGAGGATTTAAAAACAGACTTCCACAGATGTCTCTCTGGTTGAACCTGAGCAGAGAGGAAGTGTTCGACGGAAACATGTGGATGTCATCAAATCGCAGTGTGGGTGACAGGAAGGTAAACAGCTGATAATGACAGCCTAATTAACTGTGAGCGTTAGCATTAGCCTTGTTGTTAATCTTTACAGTGTTTAAAAGTGTGTCTGATTGAAGTTTTCTTCGGATTTGAGTTAAACAGGAATATTTTAAATAAGGCCTTTGATTTTAATCGTTGAAATAAATCACAAACGTCGACTTAGAAGTTTAAAGTTTAACCTGATCTCCTTCTGTGCTGCTACATTTTAGATACAGGTTACTGTGCACATGTTAATGAAGACATAGATCATATTGAAGATGTGTTGTTGCAGATTTCATGACATCAATGCATAAAGTGTGTAATATACACTTTCCTCAGATCTGCTTTGAAATGCAAATGAAACCCTTCTGTTTCTGGATGAACAGCTTTGTTTGTCATTGAGTGATAATGATTTAAATCAAACTTTTACCTTTGAAAAGTTCACTAATAAGTCCTTTATAATCAGGTTAGAGTCTTTTTAATGTGGAATCTTTACCCTCAAATGATCATTTTTATGACAAAGTGAGGTTTTATTCCTGTTCATGTTCCCTCAGGCAGCTCTCTATATAAACAAGGATGAGGCTCCCCCTAGTGTTTGGTCTTTGTATTGACCAATCATCCACCATCCTGTATCAGTATGTACTGTATATAAGTATATGCAATCATAAAATACATTTTCAGGCTGTTTCTCGTGTGGGTAATCATGCCTTTAAACACTCAACATAAAATCTAGTGTGAGCTAAAGAATTGTTTTTTGTGATAAGAAAAAATAGGGCAACAGCTAATATCCATCCTCACATGAATGCTGGTTCTTGTCGGTGATGATGAGATGAAATTATTGATCCCTGTGGTGAAATTAGATCACAGCAGAAACAAGACGCATGGACAAGAAACACACACACGCTGCTGACCTCACATCACTGCTCTGAAGTGACAGTGAACACATCACGGCTTTTATCAGTAGTGGTATTGATCAGCATCATTAGAGAATAATTATCATCATTAGCTGGAACAGAATGTAACAGCAGATCAGATGAAAACAGGAGCATTGAACTGTCCGACTAGTGACTGAGATTTATGATAGAGCAGCTCAGAAACTGTTTGTCATCAATATGTGAACCTGTGATGATTAGAAACACTGAGCATTTATTCATCAATGCTCAGGGCTACTTTTGATGTTAATGTTTTGCAGATAAGCTTAATCTGTAAGAGATAATTAGAGGTGCTTACGTGTATGAAAGGACAAATAAAGCCAGAATGGGGGGGGGGGTACATTAGGTACATTTCTTACATTTAAAAATGGCAACAGCAAAAATGAAACCAATTAACTGATAAGTATAGGCCATAATGTGTTACGGACAATATCGAAGGTGTAATACACCACCTTTGTCCACATGAGGTCGCCAAATTCAACGCAAACTACAAAGTCCTCAAGAACTGACTGAATAAAAGTCTCCCATTGATTTAAATACAGCTTTTCACAGTAGACACACTCAAGGATGCAGCACATAACAAACGTATAGTACTAAAACATTCAAAGAAGACGTCCTGTGATGTGTGTGTGTGTGTGTGTGTGTGATGTGTGTGTTACACTTCTCTTGATGCAGTAGATAGCTGTGACCTCGTTGCTCATTTCATGCCTTAACAGAGAAACATCAACACGTCTGTATATAAATATATTTAACATGTCTGCTGAAAACCTCATACCTCCATAACGTCCACTCTTAAAGAGGTGTTGGGAAGTAGATGTGGATATCCTGTTATATTTAACATTATTTATTTTTGTATGTAAACAATGCAAATGTTACCATCAATCATTAACAATAACGACGTTTATAGACATCAAATATGTGATTTTCCTCTCTCTGCTTTATGTCAGCGCTGTTTTTGCTTCAGTATTTGGGTCATTAATCATGTTATCGTTACAGGTAACAAACATTATTTATCCCACATGTGTAACTAAACAAGCACACTGCATAAAAAGAGGCTGAGTGAAAGGAAAATAAAGACAGAAAAAAGTGGAGGGAGGAGTCATTACAAATAGTGTAAAACTTTCTGAACTTAAAAATGAGAATATAAGATCCAAGATGTAATGCACTGCTTTGTCCACAGGGCGGCACTGCTGGCCCTGAGTTCCCTTTACATGTGTGTCAAATAATGAGAATGTCTTCTGTTTAAAATTTATTTTTAAAAAATACATAGAGGAACTACTATTGAAGAAGACAGTTACATTTTATTTAAATGCATCAAAAGTACTTTGAAATAGACTTATGTGTGCATGTTGTGTTGTGTTTTGACCACATGGGGGAGTTGAGGAGCAGGACATCCATTTTTCCACTTATGTGTGGCGGAAAAGAAAGAAAATCAACCTTATAATAATTTCTTTAAATTGTGACGCAAAATGCATTACAACTATAATATGGATATAAAATATATTGTTGCAGGAAGTTGTCATTAATGTGCACTGAGCTGCTGCAGGCTTCACATCAGTGTAACTAAAAGCGACATTATAAAAGAGAAACGCGTGAAAACACACTTTTATGTCACATTTATGAACGTAATTGAAATACGTGATGCATTCCGGTCCACACATCCTTTTCATAATATAGTCACCTGCATCTTTTTCTAAGACTAACGAGTCCTCTATTGACCAAGACGTGTAAAAACAAACCTTCCCACCAGATGGCGCTGTTTCTCCATCAATATAAGTGCTGGTAGACGTGAGTGAACCACATCAGCAACTTTATACTATAAAATATTGTGATGATGTTTTTTTGTTTCTCAGCACTTCCACCATGGGTGCCTTCAGAGTTAAGAATCTAATCCCTTCACACTTTGGGATTTTCTCCAGGTGTATTTGGACTTTAAAATTCACTGGACCCAGGTGAGGTTCGAACACACAATCCTCGGACTCAGAGTTAGTCCTCTAGCTCACCTGGTGACTGCAGGGTGATGATGATGTTTTTTTGAAGTCATAATTCTTTCCACTTTTGCAGAGAACAACATTAATTTCACATTTTTTAAATCTAAAATACAAGAATCTTCTGTGACAGTGAATGCATCTTCCCCCTTGTTTGTTTTTACATTTGTTTTTATGTGATTTTACCACATCCTCCCGGATAAAACCTCCACTTAGTTTTCTCTGAGCAGCACAGAGTCAAGAAGGAGGAGGGACTGTTCCAGCTGGTTGTTGAACTTAGAGAAAAATGAATCCAGCTTTCACTGAGTTGAGTTGCTCGTTCTAATAAGATGTCTTCAACTCACGAGTTCATTCAACCTGACTCCTTTCCTTTCATTTTCAACCTGAAGGACGGGAAACAGATATGATTATCAAATTGTTGCATTATTCTTTATTTTAAGTGATAAGCTAAAACTTAATGTATTGCTTTGGGAAGGCTGCAAGGTTGCAGAGACAAATAAGGACTGGATTCCAAAGAAAATAGAGAAGGAAACTTAATGCAACATCAGTTCTTTAATGTTTATCATGTTGAGAAATATCTTGAATCGCACAATAACATTACTACATAATCATAATTTCAGACATTGTGTAAACCCTAAATATTTACTTTATTTTAGAATTCACACAGTATAGCTGTTTTACGGTTGGCCTTTTGAGTATATTTTGATGCCTGTGTTTTATATTAAGTAAGGTTTTGAATAAAGGCTTCTATTCGTAACAGAGTGTCTTTAACTGAAGTTTTGCTAAAAGATCAGTTCTATAAACCAAATGGTTTGACTTTTTGTGTTTCCATCTCTTCTTCTTTCCTCTCCTCTCCTCAGAATCTGAATTTCTTCTCCTCAGCCAGGTCTCAGCTGTCCGAGCTCCTCAGCTGGCAGTTCTCCTCCGTCACCAAGGAGGCCTGAACCAGGAGCAGCTCAACATGCTGGCTGACAAACTGCTCGGTAGAAATAGTTTTCTTTAACAGATAAACACCTGCAGAACTTTCAAACAGGCCTTTAACTTTATTTATTTTATCTTCAGAGCCAAAGCCAAAGGAACCCAGAGACAAATCACCTGGACCAAGTTGTGCAAGGTGAGCCCATTCAGCCTGAGATTTAAGATCGTCAACATCTGTGATACTTTTTAATACCACAAGTTAAAAATGAATAAAATCTGTATTCAAATCTGTAATTTAACCAAAAGCTGCAATAAGAGAAACGTGTACAGGTTAGCAGATACTAATGGAGTCTTTTTAGTGCATCATAAAGTTAAAACTACATCTTCTCTTTGAACTGAATGTATTTGTCTGTAAGCAGAGTGCGAACGAGAAAGCGTATTCCTTCTGGTTGTGGATCGAAGGAATCCTGGATGTGATTAAAAGACACCTGCTTTCCCTTTGGAATGACGGGTGAGTGCTGCCGTCTTTCTTCAGTGTCAAGACACTTTTCTGAGATGTGTGTGTGTGTGTGTGCAGCTCCATCATGGGCTTCATCAGTAAGGAGAGGGAGAAGGCTCTGCTCAGTGATAAGTGTCCAGTTTATTTAATGGAGCCCAAGGATGTGGAGAACAATCCAGAGAGGAGCGGCTACATGAAGACAGAGCTCATTTCTGTCTCTGAAGTGTGAGCAGAGAATGTCACTTTTTAAACACATGTCAAATATTTTATTGGTAATGCATTGAGCAGATTTAATTGGATTTGCTTTCTGTTCAGACATCCGTCCAGACTGCAGGACAACATGTTGCCCATGTCTCTGATGACTACAGAGACATTGATGCTGTGGTGAGTATTTTGATAAGCTGCTGAACCAGCTTCTGTGAGCACCTCTTTAAATACTGCTGTTGACAGTCTGCACAGGGTTTTTTTTTTTTTACAGGTGAAGATTTCTGTTAATTCATCACCTGTAAAGAAACAACACCTCAGATGAATGTAGACGAGTAAACTGCACGATATGTCCATCTGAGATGAACCGGTAGATGTGTAGAAAAGTAAACCCAGCTTTACTCTGTCTGTATTTATCTGTTATTTTGTCCTTATTGAGCTTAAATGCAGTTGCTTCAAGTATTGTTGTGTCACAAACCAGTAACCAAAGCTTAAATTTGGAGATGTTTTTATGGGGTTTGGCCAGTAATGGGAGCTAAGTTTTGCTGTGTGTTTTTTCTTCTCTTGCTCTGCTCAGACCAACAATCTGCTTGGATTTGAAGAGTTTGATGTTCAGGTAGAGGCAGCCTCAGTTTGTTTCTCTACACTGAATAGTGCATCAGCTTAAGTGTAATTTTCTTTGTGTTGTTGCATGCATGACATCTAACATACACAAAGGTGTGAATTTAAGTCATTTTCACATCTGCACTCCTGAAAATATCTAGATCATTTCAGGAGGACTGCTCCAGAGATTCTCCTGATCTGGTTGTTCACATATCCACCTCACAGCTGGGGACTACAACTGTCAGACAGGAGGGGGGGTGGCGAGGGGTCTCCTGAGGTATACGATGCTATAATGAGAATATTTGTCTTAAATCAATGCTACGTGTGGTTGAACAGAATCACAATGTGAACTAAAGAGTGGAGAAGAACAACTGGAGAACAGGAAACATGCAGCAGCAGGTTGATTAGAGCACGGAGATGGTAGAGGTGGCGTGCAGACAGTCTGTGGTCGAGCAGCAGTCACAGGATATAAACGTCACTCCCCTCCCATTGGCCGAGGTGAATATTCCAGATAATACTGTGCGTTCTCACATCAGCTCACTCTGACTAACTGCTTGAAAAGAATACTACAGTAGGGTTCTGGCAGGAGAAACTCGGGTGAAGTCCAAATGAAAAATTTGGCCGTTTGCATTCACACATACAGCTCCTCCTGCAAATATCAGGAGTTCTGCAAGTGTGAAACCCCTTTAGTCTGTCTTTTAAAGGGTCTGTCTAAGACAGACTAAGACAGAATAACCTGTCCTCTGATTGTAAGCAACACTCTCTTTTCTTTTTTTTCTTCTGAGAAAGTGGCAAATCTCTTTCTTCTTTCTGAGTGCTGCTCTTGAGAATCTGTGGTGTGGTAAAAACCCTCACTACTTTTAAGTTAGATACAGGTCAGTGCAGTAACCAGTCACCTTCTAGACACATTTGAGTGATTACATTCACTCTACTTGGAAGTCAAAGAATTTATATTTTTGCCGATAATTACGAGGCAGAAAAGGCTTAAAAAGACGTGGATTCAAAACAAAAACCCTTATCTGCCAGCTGTGTTTTATTTAGTTATAGTAGTTTACAGCTTTCATTGTCTGTTTTCTTTGATTTTGAGGAAACTTGTTTATTGTAGTCTTTAATTATCTACCACTAATAAGAAAATAAGAAAAATATATTGCCTAATATGTCATGGGAACACAATCTGCTTTCTTCCTCAGTAGTGAAATGCTCCAACGTACACAAGAATATGCAATCAATGAAGTTACACTTCAGATTCTTTGAGAGACTAACATGCATGTGTGATTAACAGACAATTGATTTTAATTAACATAAGCAGTAAACAGTTGCTTTTTTATAATTAAAAAAATATGTTATCTGTGATTAAGTCAAGTCACATTTATTTATAAAGAAATAAAACAAAGAAAGCAGTTTGAATTTGTATCTAGAACAAGAAAGGTGAAAAAAAAAAACTTCCAAATGCAGTAATTCACAGAGTGACCACAGGAGGGCGCAGTTTCACCTTTAAACTCCATCTTTACACATTAGTATCTCAAACTAACTTCGGAGCTTCAGTACAAAGTTTTCACTCATCCCGTGTCTTCATTTATCTGCTTCTTAGACTCTTTGGAGAACGACAGGGAGAGGAAGAGAGAAACTGGAGGTAAACATCATTCAGCAGTGAATTTATCTGTGAGTAACAATTCAGTCAGTGTCCTAAAGACCGGAAACAGGTTAGCTTCGTCCCCTGCTAACGAATGCAGTTAGTTACCATGGTGACCCGAGTTTGACTTTCTCATGTTGCTGGTTACCAAGAGTTCAAAGTTTAAAAAACATAAAAACAAGTAAATTACATTAATAAATATTTTTTATCAATAAAACATTTGATTTTTGACTTAGTCTTGTTTATGTGTCCTCTTATTTATAACTTTTTCGTTTCTTCCATAGAAACTTTCTGCGACACTTCCGGTTGAAGCTTCCGGTAATCACGCCCAGGTGTGTTCAGGTGTTCTCAGGTGTGTATATCATTGTTTCGAGCAGGTAAGCGGTGCGGACCGCGGCAGCCTGGCTGTGGATCAAAGCGGTGGAAGAAGAAGGAGCCGGGGAAGGAGAGATGAAGTCTAGATACTCAGTGAGTCTTTAAAAGTTCAGTTTTGTGTGAAAAGCCACAAAATAGAAACACGTGGGGCTGTATGCTAATGCTAACACGTGGGCTAATGCTCATGCTAAATGTTTGTTAAGAGGAAACATCGTCAAAGTAAGATGATGATAACATTTATCAACATTATGAAGGTAACTTTTGAACTTGTTTTCTCCTGTTAAACTAATTGTTTAAACACCGGGTAAAAGTAAACTTTAAAAACAAAACTTATAATTTAAACTAATATCAGATTGAAGAGTTTAAATAAAACAATAACCTCAATTTAAGTTTATTGACTAATATGTAAATTAGTTAATCCGAGGTAAAATGATTTTCTAAACATTACTGTTCACAGAGCTCAGAGATTAAATGTTAATCTTGATAAAGTAATATGAATAAACTTCTTTATTTAATTTAAGAGTAAAAGCTTTTAATTCAGTTTTCTGTGTTTAATTCAAACTCAAAGAAACAAAAGTCTGATTCATTTATTTTAAACCTTTAACTTTAATTAGAGTCTTTGTTCTTGTGACAGTTAATGTATGGTAAAGATGTTTCTATATTATATTCTACATTTAAACTTTTATTTAAGTTTGCTTCGGTCTCATCCAAAAGCCTTAAAGTGAAGTTAAACACAGATAATTTACAGTGAATGATTAAACTCAGGTTTATTCCAATCATCACAATGTTTTATAATCAAACATTTTCTGAGTTTTATTAACTTGATGAACTAAAATGTGTTTTTCTTTTCCAACAGGAACTCTGTTGACGTCTTCCAGGAGGATCCCCGGTCGGTGACCGTCTTCCTGCTCAGGTAGGAGACTCAAAGCTTTCTCAATGTTGTTTTATTGTGTTCCATGTTTTAGGTCTTATAGATGTTTAGACTCAGTTATTTTAATCATTTCATCCTTTTTGGAGTGGAGGATCATCAGGTGTTTAATGAAATACTTCATTTTTATAATCCTTATTTCATTAATCACCTGATGTTCCTCCACTCCAAAAAGGATCAAATAACTGAGTCTAAACATTTATACAACCTAAACCTGGAACATAATAAAACATCAAGAAAGCGTTGAGCTCCTACCCAATGGGGACGCCTGTGACGCCTTATTGTTTTGTGCTTATGTAACATGTACAAAAAACAGGTCATGTCTGTTCAATATTTTATTGTAATAAAACTACTGCTCTGTCCACTCTGCATCAGTGACTTCTGTAATTATGTTCTGGTTATCTGCCAGGTGTGTTTTATTTATAGTAGCTTACAGCTTTCATTGTTCTGAGGAAACTTGTCTGTAGTTATCTACCCAGTAAGCATGTTTCCTAATGGAAATTTATCAAATGTTATAAAAAATATCCCAACTTCAAATGAAAACAAAAGTCACAGCTTTGTGACAAAGAAGGAAACAACTACAACAAAACATCCATTAGGAATTAAAGATGCTGACAACACAAACATGAAACAAATTAAGACTTTAAAATGTATTATCAAAGTGTGTTAAAAGAAAACTGCAAATGAAAATTAAAGCAAACAGACTTTAAACTAAATCTATAGCTGAAAGATAAAAACAAACTATGACTGAGAAAACTAAAACAGCTAACAAGTAAACTTTAATCTGAAGAAAATCCTTCCAGCTGCAGCACAGATCCTACTCTTCACAGTTCAGAGCGAGGAAACACCTGGAATATAAGAAACAAATACATCAGGGTTCAAAGTTCATTTCAGGTTGCATCTATGGGTAATTTACAGCTAGGATTGTAAAATGAGCCATTCTGATACATTAATTAACAATAAATTAATTAAGTCAAAAGAATCTCTACATCTACAGCAAAGAGAGTGTTAAGATTAAAATTTAAAAGTTTGTAGCATCATGTACATTTTGCCCTACGAATAAAATCAAGAATACGACTGTACGTGACTGAAACAGTGAAAATAAACACAAGAGCCAAGAAAAATACTCACCAAATGTTGAAGGAAGCAGGTGAGGCAGCGTGGTGTAGCATACATGTTAACAACTCTTTGTCTTGTTTTGGTCAGGCTGCCCCTAAAAGTTACAACAAAAAAAAAAAACACATCACAATTAGTTTAAACTTACCAAATGTTAGTTATTGTAAAGTGTTTGGAGACAAGTGAATAAACATCGACTGATTCATGAAAGTTAACATTAAGTTTGTTTATCATGTCACATTGGGCCTGTTTTTTTAGAGAGAGAGAGAGAGAGAGAGAGAGAGAGAGAGAGAGAGAGAGAGTGTTACATCTGTGATCAGGTTCAGCCTGTAGTGCATTAGTCCTTAATGTCGTTGGTTATCTGCCAGCTGTGTTTTATTTAGTTAAGTAGTTTACATGTTTATTGTTAGCCGATAAATCTGTCACCCAAAGGAGAAGTCAATCAAATCCTTTTTGAGGACCAAGACCTTGAAGCTCATCACAGAGCACTGATAATACTTTAATTATCTGTGGTTTTTAACATCCTCTCTCTCTAGAGCTTGCTGGTTGAGTGTGTGAAGAACAAGGACTTAAAGAAGGTGAGTGACAGTTTCCATCTCTCACTACAGACCTTTGCACCTTTTTACATACTCACATGTGTCCTTTGAATTGAATCATCAGCTGCAGGGAGCCGACCTGGAGGGAGCCCCACCTGGAGGGAGCCCCACCTGGAGGGAGCCCCACCTGGAGGGAGCCCCACCTGGAGGAGCCCCACCTGGAGGGAGCCCCACCTGGAGGGAGCCCACCTGGAGGGAGCCCACCTGGAGGGAGCCCACCTGGAGGGAGCCGCACCTGGAGGGAGCCGCACCTGGAGGGAGCCCCACCTGGAGGGAGCCGACTGACGTCACTCGACTCGTCCGGCTGCAGGTTACGTCATCACGCTGCCAGTGCAGGAAGCCAAAGAGATGGTCCTCTACATCCTCACAGGTGTGTGTACAGTCCTCCACGTGTTTGGTGCTCGTAGGTTGACAGTCAGACAAACTCTCTTTTCATTTCTTCACCAGATTGAATAAGGAGTGAAAACTACAAGACAAAGAACATTTAGTTAGTCATAACCAAAGTTCTACAATGAACAATAAAACTAATACACGACAAAAGAAAGCTTAGTTGTTAACTTCAGTCCAGTGAAGAAACTCACATTTCTGTTGCTGCCTGCTCTGTGCAGCTTGAAGATGAAAGAAGGAACCCTTAACTTCCTGCTTCCTTTATAGGCAGGGCTTGATGAGTCACTTCTGTAGCAGTCTCTGACAGGCCAACGGGGGTGCCATTGCACCATGTGTAGCTCATTTAAAGAATCTTAGTTGTTGTTTTTTTTAACCATTAATGAATGTATGTGGGTTCTTTTCAAAATAGGAATATGAGTTTTTTTCTTTCTGTATTTTAGTGTTTGAATAAATGGGAAACTTTCAATGACAGGCTTGTAAAACAAAAAGTCAGTTCAATCAATCTTTATTTTGTAGAGCGCCAACTCAATACAAATGTTATCTCAAGACACAAAAGCAGGTAGAGAGAGTCTTGTCTGGGTTAAAGGCAGGGTTGTCATTTTCTAAAAGTAGCATTCCCTCAGTGCTCCGTCTGCACCCACCCCAGAAGCAGACCTCAGCTCATTGCCTGCATTGTCAGGATCAAAAAGACAATTTCAACCACAATCTTAAAAAATGAATCTGGAGAAAATCACCAACCCGCTTTTAAGTAGTTTTTAGTGTTACAGAAAAACTGCAGTAAGTACAGATTATATTTGTGCTTGAAACATCTAACATTGAACTGAAACCATGAGGTTTTTAAAATGCTAAACACTTTATTTAAATGTTAACAGAGTGTAGATGATGATGCTTTCAAACTGCCTGTGTCTGTATCTGTGCTCTGATCTCTGTTCAGTCTATATGTGATGATACATGTGCCATCATAAACACAAGACTCCAAAAGAAGCAGCAGGGGGGCCACTGTTGATGTCTGTTCCTCGGGTGATGTTGTCAGATGCTGTAATCTCTCTCTCTCTCTCTCTCTCTCTCTCTCTCTCTCTTCTGTTGACCAGGGGGGAGACGGTCCTTCACCGAGCTGCGTCCCTGTCTCAAAGAACTATCTGTCATTATCTGGTCCAAGCAGGAGCCTCGCTCATCAAGACAGACCTACAGGTACAGTTCAGCTCGCACCCAAAACAGACGCTAACCTGCAGGTTTTAAAATGGATATCTGCGTCCAATTCTCACCATCAGTGCAGTCTGTGTGTGTTCGCCTCAAAGCGGCATCTTCTCTCATTTTGTTCACATTTCCATGGAGGTTTGGAGCCTCACTGGCTGGACTCAGCAATGACCTCGATACAGAGAGAGGAGAGGCAGACAGTGACATTTCTACATAAATAGTTTCTTTCTTGGTGTTCACACATCATGTAAACAGTTCTCTAGTGACTTCACTGATGCTCCATATTTTACTTGAGCTCCTTTTAACTTTGAACCATATTATCCTGATATATGATTGACCATATGTATATATAATAAATCAAATCTTATGTTGTTTAAAAAAAAAAGTTAGTAATTAAATGATATTAAGTAGATTATATTTATATTTCAACTGAAAACTAAATCTATAACTAAACAAAACTACAGCTTAAAGATAAAAACAACAAACATTAAAGACTAGACAACATCTAAAAGGTAAATAAAACAACAGGTAAAAGGTAAATAAAACAACAGCTAAAAGGTAAATAAAACAACAGCTAAAAGGTAAACTAAGACAACAATCTCTTCATCCAGTCTTCTGTGTTTAATTTACTCAAAGAAACAGCAGTCTGATTCATTTATTATTTAAGTGCAGTAACCAACAACTAACCACCAGAGGGCGCCCTCTCTATATAAAGTGATTTATAAACGATATAATGCATTTATTTTAAACCTTTAACTTTAATTAGAGTCTTACATCATTGTTTGCTAAATTATTTATATTAAAGCTGCATTTTTACCTTAGACCTTTTCCTAGTAGCTTTCATTTTACTTTTCAAACTTTTAATCAATTTAATTAGTTTATTTTCCTTTGGTTTTCTTCATGAACATACCACAAACCTTTTTATTGATTTAATTGAAATGATCAATTTGATTGAATTTTTTTTTATTTTATATTTATTCTTACAGCTCATTGAGCTAGTTTAGATTAAACATAAATTAAAAGGAAACATTTACAAGTTAAAAAGGACTATCACAGACTTTTAATATTAGTTTGAGGAGGCATCTATGGCTCATTTACAGCTAGGATTGAACAATATGTGAAAAGTAAATGGGCCATTCTGATACATTACTCATTTTAAATTAACTGTTTTTTTCATCTGAAAATACTTCTTACCTTTGTGAAAGAAAAGTCAAATAATATTGTTGCCACGAGCGGATCAAATACGAGGAGGAGCAACCTGTACAAACAGCTGGATGACAAGAATAGACTAAAGTCAAAGACAAGACACAACATTAGAAGCACAGTTTGAAGACAAGCTGCTTAAAGATTCTAAATACAAATACTTTCATTTTCTCAATTCTTATTACTTGATGTCCTTTTCTTATAATAATTCACAGGATGATGAGATCAACCAACAGAGTCTGGCTGACAAACTCAAGGAGCAGAAGATGGACACAAATCCGTTTCTACATCTCCACAAAACTCTGGAGGCACCACAAGCAGCTCAGCCGCCTCAGAGACCAGATCCAAGACCAGCAGAGGATGATGGACGAGCTCATTCATTTACAATCATAAACTACTTCAATTAGAAGTGCCAGATTTTATCAAGCAGACATCAACATTAACTCTGGCCACATTATACATTTTATTTTCCTCCTTTTTGTTTGAACCAGGGCCTGTTACTGGAGCAGACTCATGACAGACAGCTGGAGAAAGATGCAACACTACAGAAGCTCATGTATGTACCAGCTAACACATCACATCTCCATTATTCATTAGTCTGTGTGTCCTCAATTCATCCACATTTTGTGTCCAGACTGCTGAATGATCAGAGGATCTGAAGGGCCTCCAGGACACGGTGTGAGTATTTCATCCCCCCATTTAAAGTGTCATGTCATTTAAAAACCCAACAGCTTTTGGTCCTCCTTGTCTGAACTCAGCTGAGGGTAGTGTTGTAGTCAAGAGCACACTAAGACCACACAGAGTCACAAATATGTGTGTGTGCAGGGGACGTTTTACTCACTTGGACCGTAACAACAGGAAGGTTGTGGTCGTAACCGGGGACTGAAGTTATTTGATGTTTTTACCTTCTAGTCCCAGACCGAGACCTTCAAAATGTGGACTCTGATTGGCCTGTTTTTGTTAACGATGCTGAGGTTACCAAAGCAACAGATCACAAAAGTTCAAATGGACTCAGGAGAAGATCGAGAAACATCCATCCAACGCAAGCAGACGAAATCATTTGAATGATCACCTGTCTGTCCATGTAGCTTTGTTTCTTTTCATCTGAACTCCTCGGTCTTCTTATATCTGTGAATCTGTAGCTCTGGATTTATCAACAGGAAGTGCTCTGGATTTATCAACAGGAAGTGCTCTGGATTTATCAACAGGAAGTGCTCTGGATTTATCAACAGGAAGTGCTCTGGTTATTAACAGGAAGTGCTCTGGATTTATCAACAGGAAGTGCTCTGGATGTATCAACAGGAAGTGCTCTGGATTTATCAACAGGAAGTGCTCTGGTTATTAACAGGAAGTGCTCTGGATTTATCAACAGGAAGTTATAAAGGAAACAGGAAGTTGAGGATTCTTTCTTTAATCTGCACACAGCAGGCAGCAACAGAAATGTAAGTTCCTGTCCTGAAGTTAAAGTTTAACATTAGCATGTAGCTTAACATTAGCCTTGTTATAATTTGTGACGTATTGCATCTGATGTAGCATACCACGTGGCTTAGCATTAGCATGTAGCTTAGCATTAGCATGTAGCTTAACATTAGCCTCGTTATAATTTGTGACGTATTGCATCTGATGTAGCATACCACGTGGCTTAGCATTAGCATGTAGCTTAGCATTAGCATGTAGCCGCCATGTCTGTCTTCTCTGCAGCCTTCAGTATTATGAGTTTGGTGAGTCAGAGCGACACACACACACGATGAGTCATGACATGTCAAAGAAGACGATTGAAACAGCTTGAACAACTTAAAAAAACAGTTTTTATTTCAAGTCAAACATTTTTAACCTTCTCTCTACAGATAGATGAACCAGACCTTTTCATTTCTACTCACATGAGTCATGCTGTGCTCCTCCATGAGGAACCTCTTTGTCTCTGTTAGTCTAAACTAAATGTAAACTTTGTCTTTGTTAGTCTAAACTAAATGTAAACTTTATCTTTGTTAGTCTAAACTAAATGTAAACTTTGTCTTTGTTAGTCTAAACTAAATGTAGACTTTGTTAGTCTAAACTAAATATAAACTTTGTTGGTCTAAACTAAATATAAACTTTGTTGGTCTAAACTAAATCTAAACTTTGTTGGTCTAAACTAAATCTAAACTTTGTTGGTCTAAACTAAATCTAAACTTTGTCTTTGTTAGTTCAAACTAAATGTAAACTTTGTTGGTCTAAACTAAATGTAAACTTTGTTGGTCTAAACTAAATGTAAACTTTGTTGGTCTAAACTAAATGTAAACTTTGTTGGTCTAAACTAAATGTAAACTTTGTTGGTCTAAACTAAATGTAAACTTTGTTGGTCTAAACTAAATCTAAACTTTGTTGGTCTAAACTAAATGTAAACTTTGTTAGTTCAAACTAAATGTAAACTTTGTTAGTTCAAACTAAATGTAAACTTTGTTGGTCTAAACTAAATGTAAACTTTGTTGGTCTAAACTAAATGTAAACTTTGTTAGTTCAAACTAAATGTAAACTTTGTTGGTCTAAACTAAATGTAAACTTTGTCTTTGTTGGTCTAAACTAAATGTAAACTTTGTCTTTGTTGGTCTAAACTAAATGTAAACTTTGTTGGTCTAAACTAAATGTAAACTTTGTCTTTGTTGGTCTAAACTAAATGTAAACTTTGTCTTTGTTGGTCTAAACTAAATGTAAACTTTGTCTTTGAATTGCAGGAGCTGCACCTGAAGGGAGGAAAGAGATGATCTCCTCTTTTCATTTCTTCACCAGATTGAAGGAGTGAAAACTACAAGACACAAGAAGTTTAGTCATTACCAAAGTTCTGTATAAATTCAAACAATAAACTAATACAAGTTGTTGCTAATGCTAAGCTACATGCTAATGCTAAACCTTAACTTCAGTACAGGAACTTACATTTCTGTTGCTGCGTGCTGTGTGCAGATTAGAGAAAGAACCCTGAACTTCCTGTTTCCTTTATAACTTCCTGTTCCCTGAATTAACAGAGGAGAGGTGTTCTTGGTGTTCACATATCATATAAACAGTGTCTGTAGTGACTTCACTGATGCTCCATATTTTACTTGAGCTCCTTTTAACTTTGAACCATATTATCCTGATATATGATTGACCATATGTATATATAATAAATCAAATCTTATGTCATGGTGGGAACAATGAACCATTAATGAATTTAGGTTAGTACACTATATTTAGTTCATTAAGTCATCCAACACTTTTAAATAAAGGCTCTGACATGTTCACAAAACTTCAGACACACTTGATTTTCTTTTCCATAAACCTGTACTTGTGTTACTCATGAAACATCAGGGGGAACTAGTGGTGCCAGGTACCACTGCTGTGGAAGCTGGACTTGAACCAGCGTGCATGTATTCCTGATGCAAGGATGATTCCACTTGGCCACTGGTCCCTTCTTACTTGGAGTTGTGTTCCGGGCGTATTTATCATCGTCATTTCAGATTTCCACTTAAAAATTTGCCTGATAAGATTCAACTCCTCCATGACCAGACACAGTGGGATTTGAACCTAGGCTCACCACCTACAGAGTTTGGAAACCGCAATCTTATCCACTACACTACCGATTCCTTCACACTATGAGATGTGTTCCGGGCGTATTTATCTTCATCATTTCAGATGTTAGCCTTTAAAATTCACAGAGTCCTGGTAAGATTTGAACCCACAACCTCTGGACTCCAAGTCCTCCTTCTATCTGTTGAGCCACAGAGACAGACATGCAACTATCTTTCGCAGATCTCTTGAGTCTTTCCATTGGATCAACACCTTTAAGATAATGGTGTGTGTCCTGTGGATCGATACTTGCAGGTGCTTCACTGTGTTTCTCCTCTTGAGTCTTTCATTTTGGACCGACACCTTTAAAATTCACTGAGTCCTGATAAGATTTGAACCCACGACCTCCAGACTCCAAGTCCTCCATCTATCTCCTGAGCCACAGAGACAGATAAAGACCATGTTTCTCCTGCTGGATCTGTGTGTTGTTTTGTTCAAGTCTAAGATTTGTTTTTTAATCTACGTTAAATAAATGATTTATATTTCTATATATTTTGTCCAGACAAGAATAAACAGCAGCTTTCAGCAGCAGCTCACGACTTGGTTATGCAGCGGTCTTGGACGTAACATCTCGTGTTACAACGATAAACATAGTAGTGTCTGTCATGGCGCTGTGACGCCCTCTGTCTGCATTTGTTTGGCTTCCTGGCTTGGCAGACAGCAGGCGGAGTCAGGAAGGCCATTAGTCCACCTGGGTACACCTGAGTCCATCAGGACTCTGCTTATAAGTGGCTTCCAGTCTAACTTGTCTCTCTTTCTCCCAGGCCTCCATCAACTGGTTTGATTTTGTTCCCACTTTACAACACTACACTCATCCATACATTGCATTCATGACTGATTTACATAATGAATGTAAATTTTTTGATAATAAATTTACTTCCTTTTAAACCTTGTTTCATGTGTGATACCCTTCCTTTGTCACGTCCTGCAACAACTCTAAAATGAAGGATGACCTCATGTTTACTTAACCATCTTTTGCACTATTATCCTATTTAGCCTTGTACATATTAGTCTTTGCTTGTAAGTTTATTGTTGATATTTAATATTATACCTTTGTACAAAGAGAGCACAGTTTACTAAAGTAAAATTCCATGAGTGTTGGGATGCACCTGGCCAGTAAAGCTGATTCTGAAGGATTTCTGTGGCTTTGATAATTGTTGGAAATAAACTCCTCAAAAAGTTTGGAAACATTATTTTGTCAATTATTTGGCCTCTTTAATAATACTAATTGGTGTTGTATTTTATATCGTTGGAAAGCCTGATCAGTCACCTTTACAACGAGGTATAACTTGTAAGCATCGTGCATTCATGGAATGTGCAACACAGCTAAACGTGTAAGTAGCACTCTTAAGAAATGTGCCAAAATGGACACAGCAGTAGTTTTATTACAATAAAATATTGAACAGACATGATGACCTCTGTGTTTTGTACACGTTACGTCAGCACAATACAATAAGGTGTGACAGGTGAGGGGGTTACATCCAGCCAGTCCCTTTCCCCCCACTATCCTCCAGCCCCCATTGGGTAGGAGCTCAAAGCTTTCTTAATGTTGTTTTATTATGTTCCAGGTTTTAGGTGGAGTTATGAGTTTTGTATGTTGAGCAGATTTAAGGAGTTATGACCTCCTTTAGACATGGACACACAGCGCTGGTATTACTTCCTGATCTAGGTAGCATCAGTGTCCTGTTAAAAGTTAAACTCTCTTTAACCCGTCAAAGGAGAAGTGATTCAAATCATTTTCAGGGAAAATAGTTAACTGTAACATTCAGGACACTGATGCTACCTTCAGGATAACGTTAGATCAGGAAGTAATACCAGCACTGGATGTCCATGTCTAAAGGAGGTCATAACTCCTTAAATCAGCTTTAACATAACATAACATAACATAATGCTATGTAGCTGTTGACTAACGATACCTAAATAGATTAAAAAATAATAGTGTAGTTTTACATTAAACACCTGAAAATACCTGAGTCTAAACTTCTATACCACCTAAAACCTGGAACATAATAAAACAACATTAAGAAAGCTTTGAGTCTCCTACCTGAGCAGGAAGACGGCCACCGACGGGGGATCCTCCTGGAAGACGTCGACGGAGTTCCTGTTGGAGAAGAAAAACACATTTTAGTTCATCAAGTTAATAAAACTCAAAATGTTTGATTATACAACATTGTGATGACTGGAATAAACCTGAGTTTCATCATTCACTGTAAATTATCTGTGTTTAATTTCACTTTAAGGCTTTTGGATGAGACTGAAGCAAACTTAAATTCAAAGTTTAAATGTAGAATATAATATAGAAACATTAAGTATAAGGTCTTAAGAAACACCTTAACAGATCTATCTTATATTATAAGTTCTATAAGTTTGTTTAACTTTAACCTGATCAAGCTTTGGGGGGAAAGAAAATGCTCTATACATTTATATATATAATATATATTCAGAGTTGTAATTGATCTGTGATATTATCAATAAACTTAATATAATGGAGCACATAAGGTAGGTGAAGAAGAGTTATGAGCATATGAAAGTTAATAAAATCAAGAATTTTTAAACAACCTTTTTAACTTGTAAATGTTTCAAAATATTTGAATCCTAATCAAATAAGCAGATTTAATCAAATTGATCATTTCAATTAAATCAATAAAAAGGTTTTGTGGTATTTTCATTAAGAAAAACTAAAAACTAATTTAATTAACTAAAAGGTAAAAGATTCAGCTTTAATATAAATAATTTACCATACAATGATGTAATCTTAAATATCAAATTACTTTATTGACTTACAAAATTAACTGTCACAAGAACAAAAACTCTAATTAAAGTTAAAGGTTTAAAATAAATGCATTATATCGTTTATAAATCACTTTATATGGAGAGGGCGCCCTCTGGTGGTTAGTTGTTGGTTACTGCACTTAAATAATAAATGAATCAGACTGCTGTTTCTTTGAGTAATTAAACACAGAAGGCTGGATGAAGAGCTTTTACTTTTTAAATGAAATAAATGAAGTTTATTCATATTACTTTATCAAGATGAACATTTAATCTCTGAGCTCTGTGAACAGTAATGTTTAGAAAATCATTTTACCTCGGAGCTACAGCACAGAGCGAGGAAACACCTGCACACACCTGTACAAAGAAACAAGAAGAAAACCCTGAATGTTGAGTTCAAACAACAACTTTCTCTTCACTTTTGTTTGAATCTCTCAGACACACGATGTTGTTATGGTTCAGTTAGCATTAGCATTAGCATACAAACACGTTTTCTCTTCTTCTTCTTCGTCTTCAATTCTTCTTTTCGCAGCATTTTCATCCAAACTCGGACAGCCGTCATCCGCTCGAGTGGTCCGGGGTCGATATTAAGACCCTTGGGGGGTGAATTTTTTTATAACTCATCGGATTTTATTCTATTAAGGAAAACGACTATGCCCATATTTGGTTGTGTCAGATTTGATTGACAGCTCTGCGCGGTCAGCAGGTCAGGAGGCTAACAGCTTGATCCGTCTGATTTCTCCTCTTTCTTACTTCGTTTGGAGAGTTTGTTTAACACATATCTGACAACATACATGGCTTGCTGTGCGGTTAACAGACCATCCAACAAGTTGATGCTTCTGTTTTTTTCGGTAAGTGATATAGTAGTGTTATATTTACTGCTTACTCGTGTTTATATTTACGGACCTAGCTTGTTTAGCGTTAGCTTGTAAACCAGTCGGCTAATTGTGTAGCTCATTATTTACGGTCAATGGTTTAGAAATGTTTGTTGTTAAGATGTTGTTGTTGAAAATAGTGAGTTTGTGTGATGTTAGAAGCTAAAGGTTCAGCTCGGTGGTTATCTGACGTTATGATGAATGTTATTCTCCACCTAAATGTGGACATTAAAAAACAAACTTTGTGTAGTAATCATCCGTCAGTAACATAAACTGAACTGAACCTAATGTGCTGTGTAGGTTATAGAGGATGACATTAAAGTTACATGGTTGATGTAGTGTCTTAAGATTTGAGCAAACTGAGCAAACTTCACTTTGTAAGAGCATCTGTAACCATTAAGAACTATATTAATAACCATATTAATTTTCACTGAACTCATACACAGAATATAGCTGTAGAAATATAAAATATAAATAACATATGGAATGAAAATAAGATATAAAGCACATAGATATAAAGTATAAGAAATAGTTTGAAGAATACAGCCATGTACTGAGCTCATGTTAATAATAAATGAGTTACTGTATGTTCTGTACTAAAGCACAGAGAGTTGGGACCTGTTAATGATTTAAATAATTCAGGTTATATTTGTTTCATGTTAAGATGAAGTACTATCCTCAATAAACTGCTTAATTTTTCCTCACAAAATCTGAGACAATTTGATGTGGAATATCATTGTGTGAGTGAGTGAGAGAGCTGAAAACAGCATGATTACAATAATGTTTATCTTAACTTTGAATAGATGTTGATTACCTGAATACTGTACCTTTTGTTGTCTGGGTAGTACACTGTTGAATTTATAAATGTGCTCTTACACACAGATGAATACAGAAAAATAGATGAGAACAAACAAAATGATTTAATGAATAACTGATATTTTCTCTCTTTCTTTTCCATCCTGAAGACCCCTCACTAAAAGTCCATGTTCTCCTGGATCCATGTCACATGCTCAAGCTTCTTCAGAATGACTTTTCAACAGT